CAGCGTGAGGAACCTTGTCCCAAGCGTGAGGAACCTTGTCCTCCGTGTGAGGTACCTTGTCCTCAGCTTGAGGAACCTTGTCCTCAGTGTGAGGTACCTTGACCTCAGCGGGAGGAATCTTGTGCTCAGTGTGAGGTACCTGGTCCTCAGTGTGAGGTACCTTGTCCTCAGTGTGAGGTATCTTCTCCTCAGCATGAGGAACCTTGTCCTCAGCGTGAGGAACGTTGCTCTCAGTGTAAGGGACCTGATCCTCAGTGTGAGGTACCTTGTGCGCAGTGTGAGGTACCTTGTGCTCAGCGTGAGGAACCTTGTCCTCAGCGTGAGGAACCCTGTCCTCAGTGTGAGGTACCTTGTCTTCAGTGTGATGTACCTTGTCCTCAGCGTGAGGAACCTTGTCCTCAGCGTGAGGAACCTTGTCCTCAGTGTGAGGTACCTTGTCCTCAGCGTGAAGAACCTTCTCCTCAGCGTGAGGAACCTTGTCCTCAGCGTGATGAACCTTCTCCTCAGTGTGAGGTACCTTGTCGTCAGCGTGAGGAACCTTGTTCTCTGCGTGAGGAACCTTGTCCTCAGCGTGAGTAGCCTTGTCCTCAGTGTGAGGTACCTTGTCCTCAGTGTGAGGTACAATCAGTTTCAAAAGTCTTGGGACAGATGCCACAAAACCTTTGAATTTCAACAAACGACAATCTCCCCCGCCCCCTGTTCAATGTTGTGTCCCATTTCTCGTCGGGTTTGATGTGTTTTGGTTTAAACAACATTGTTTGGGGTGGGAGAGGGGGAGGGGAGCGGTATTGTGTGTAAAAAAACTATAATGATCCACTTACAAGCTAAAACTACATTTGTCCCAACAACTTCTGAAAGTGATTGTCTGGGCCCCATATGCCATAACATTATTGTACATCTCAAAAGTACAGGGAATTGAATGCTCTGCGAACGAAGTATTTCAGCTCCATTTCGTTCACAGAACATCTAATGACATTATAGAACAATTAAGTTTCATTCACATTCTCAAAGTTAATAATTAACAGAATATGAATATAACTTGTTATCTCATACTGCATTCTTAATCACAAAGGTTTATACGTTGTTTGTTTCTACAAATTTTGGCAGAGCACTAGTAGGTTATTTGAGAGGTTATAGTCCGTCGATAAAGATAGGTATCGCAAATGTTTTACGCTAGATATGTCACACATACTGTTAATTTATAGCATATATATAGTAATATAACATCCGGTTATTTTGGCATGCGGGTAAGGGCCGAGTCAACTGCTAATTCGGGTACTCCGAAGGTAATGAACGTTTGATTTTTATCACCAATAGTGAATGTGACATTTCACATCTTTCTAGAGCAGAATTTGCAGATATAATTGTCGA